AAAAAAAAAAAAAAAAAAAAAAAAAAAAAAAAAACATTTAAATAGATTTATACTCAAATATTTAATTATGATTAAAAAAAACCATTTTAAAATTAATTTGTAGAGTCGTTATCTTTAATATATTGTATACAAGTCATGTCCATAACTTAATCATGTCGGTAAAATCTTTAAATGTAGAATAAAAAAAATTGTAAATCTCGAAAGTATAGTTATTGTGAGACTTATAATAATTCATACGACGGTCGAGTAAAGACAAGTACATAAATAAATTAAGACCGCATATTTTTTTTAACAATTACACGTAAAACCTAAATAAATAAATAAAAATTACTGTATATCGAAACATTTAATCTATTTTTCGATTTTTTTTTTAAGGAAATAGACAATTAATGGGGAGGGTTAGTTCATATTAATTAATTTGATTTTATTTTTCATTAAGTATTCCAGCTAGTTCAGATTTAGACGGTTGACTCTATATATGTTTATCTCAATTTTCGGATACGTATATAAAACTCGCTCCCGATCAAATCAATCAACAGTTTTGAGTTGGCCCAATGAAACATTAAACATCGATGATACTTTATAATATAAATTATTTATTTCTATTTCAAATTATTCAAATGCATTTAATTTTGATTTAAGGAAATTAGATTATTAATTTTTTGGAAATGTATATTTAAAAGTAGTTGGAAAGTTAGCATAAATGAATTAAGAAAATAAATGATTCGATCAAAAAAAATAAATGTAATTTAACTTTAATGGAAAAAAGAGAAAAGCAAGGGAGGTGAATTTATTATTATTATTATTATTATTATTATTTTATTTTTAATTATGGTGGCTGTTCTGTGGGTTGCTTCATGTTTGGGCAACCAATCATTCTCTCTCATTTCTAAAATTTTATAATTAAAATTTTAAAATTAAATCCTAATTTTTTTTAATACATTTTTATTAAAATTTTATTAGTTTGTTTATTAATTTGCAAGGAGTCTACAAGTTTTTAAATTTTCTATTAATTAAAAAAAATTAATTGATTTATATAGAGGCATTCATGCCGGATCCAATTAATCTCGACTGCTCTATAAGTGTTGGGTTGGGTTTGACTTTTTTGTTTTCCGTTTGAGTTGGATTGAATTTTTTGGAAATCAAAATTTCAAACAAGAGGTTGACATATTTTTGTTCCGGTCAACCAAACAAACTCAAAAACACCCTGATCCATTTTACTTTTTAAGATTATTTTAAAAATTAAGAAAATTTCTCGTTTATGATTGATGTTAATAATGTGTTTGAGATATGTGAATATTTAATATTTGAGTTCTTTTTTAGATTTTAATTATTTATTTACTGGAAATAAATAAGATTCTTTAAATAATTAAAAAAAACCAACCCGAAAATAGAAGGTTGAGTTAGGTTTTGAACTCTATTCAATCTAAAAGAACCTAACTCGAACTTGTAACATTGATATATTAGATATATTAGATATGAATTTGAATTTTTATGTCCATAGATATTGATAAATCCATAAATTTAAAAAAATGGGACTAAATTGATAATTTTTAAAAATTTAAGGATTAAATGGATACAAATTATAATAATTTAGTATGATTTATTTTATTAATCAAATACTTTAAAATATATATATATATATATTTCCATAGTTTAATGAGGTGGACCAATATGTTTATCAATGAGTCATATCATATGCTAAACTTATTATTAATTATTATAAATTGCATCAACTATACACATTCATTTTCATATAATATAATGTTTCCTTTCTATATATATATATATATATATATATATATATACATATTATTCATTGACTTATAAATTTTTTAATTTAGTCAAGAATGATTAGATGCTTTATAATCTTCTTCATTTATTAAAAAATTATTTAAATTAATGTTATGATTAATATAATTTATATTGTAAATTAGGTGTCATAAATTAAAACCTAAAATTCATATAGTTTATGTAAAAATAATTTTACAATAATGAATAATTAAATAAAAGGTTATTTGTAAGTAGATAATGTCTGTGGCTGGAGGAAGAAGAAGAATCGCCATGGTTGAATGTTTAGAAAAGCTTACAGGAAGCGCCGAAGCAAGGCGAGGCGCTGCTGAAAGCTCCGAATATGGCACCAAAAAGTGAAGGCAACATTCTCAATCTCATACCCACTTTAATCCATCGCTTTCGTTTCTTCAAAATTCGCAATCCATTTCATTTTCTTCAACAACTTTTCTCTCTGTTTTACTGTTCCTCAAACCCTCTCTTCTAATCCAAGTTTCTCTTTCTCTTCAACCTCACATCTCCCTCATGGGCTCTTCATATTCAAATTTCCCCTTATTTTCTCTGGTTTTTTTGGTTTATACTGATTGTTCTTGCGATTAATGGAGAGATTAGTAGATTGCAGTTTTGGTAGGATCTGGGAGTGGAAGGATAATGCAGAGTTGTTTTCCTGATAAGAACTTCATCTCATACTTCCTTGATTTCCTTCGCTTGTTTCCCGCTTCTTCTTCGTTTCTTTGGGCAATGAGGGTTCATTGAGCTATCTGGATTTTGTTCTACCTTGGAAAAACTGAAGAGAGAATGGAATATTTTGCTTCCGTTCAGATTTTCTGTATGATCTTTGCAGTTCTGACTGTGACCGGTGATTCCTTGGCATCGGATGAAGGTATATGAACTTCTCTGCTAGATCCTGATCTTTTCTGGGTATATTTTCTAAATTTCTTTAGAACAAATTCAAGAGATGATATGCTTAGTTTTTATTGGGATTCGGATCTTGATTCAATCATACTTCTGTTTCAGCTCTTCGATCATAGTTTCCTATATCTGTTTTTGTTTCTATATCTGGTTCAAGTTATATCAATTGCTAATCAGAAAGAAGAACTCATAGACTGGGATGTTCTTGGTTTTCTACTTTTCTCCAGCATCGGCTCTTAAAATTTTCAAACAACAAATATCTAAAGATCCAAAGCGAGTTTTATCAAATTGGAATTTACAAGTTGAAAATCCCTGTAACTGGTCTGGCATTGCCTGTTCTTCAGATGGTGGCCATGTTATAAAGCTGTAAGTATGTTTCCTGTGCTCTGTGGCTCTTTTTCTTTTCTTTTGCTCTGTGTTCAGCTATTATAGTTCGATGTTGCAGTGACGTTTCTGGGGCATTGCTGAAAGGGTTTCTAGCACCAAGCTTGGGTCAACTCAGCTTCCTGCAAGAATTGTATCTTCATGGCAACAATCTGCTTGGAACAATACCCAAGGAGCTGGGGTTATTAAAGAAACTCAAGGTTCTTGATTTGGGGATGAACCAACTCTCAGGCTCGATCCCTTCAGAGATTGGGAGTTTGACAGATATTCTGAAAATGTGAAGCAAATAACTTGATTTTTCTTTTGATTGAGCTTTGAATTTGCTTCTTTGTGAACTTTCCTCACTGCTCTTAGATTCTTCTTTATTGTTGCAGCAACTTTGGATCGAATGGATTGACCGGGAGGCTACCCCCGGAGCTCGGAAATTTGAGATACCTCAGAGAACTTAGGTTAGATAGGAATAAACTTCAAGGATCTATTCCAGATGGTGATATCTTAGAACTTACATCCAATATGCATACAATGTAAGTATTTACATGTGATTTGATTATACAATTTTTTGTATAAGAAACAATTTCCTCAAAGGGAGATGTAAAATATAGGGAGCTTTAGGAATACTTTCATCCAAAGCCAACCAAAATGGTGGTTTTCCATATAAAGTAAATGAAAAGTGGAGAAAAATTATGGAACACCGTCTAGAGGCCATAAAAAAAGTGTAACAGCTTAAGCTCACCGTTAGCAGATATTGTCCTCTTTAGCTTTCCCAAAAAGCAAGGCTTAGTCTCTTGCACCAGCCCCAATATCTCCTTGAGGATTCTTTAGATTCTTTAGATTCTCTATGCGGATTTCTCTTAATAAGGCTGCATACTAGAGATGGTAATCCACCAAATATAAACAAAATTACCTTTTGAATCATCCGATGGACATCTGACAAACTGTGTAATATTCTCCGGAGCACACTCCTATAAGTTGGGAAAAGGGCTAGGATTCTGCACCATAAGTTCGTGGTCAATATCCACAATAGACAGTATTTTTAGATATGGATCATGAATAAGGCATAGTGAATGCCTACATGAATGCTTCTCATTTGGCTTATGAACATAAGTGCATTGAGTTATAAATTACCTTCTTATAATAACTGAGGAAAACCTGTTTTGGAACTCAATTCAATGTTTTATGGCCCTTTTCCTTTAACAATCTATTTTCATTGTCTGCACCTCATCTCTTATCATCATGTTTCAGGTATGCTTCAAATGCAACTGGACTCTGTCACTCAACTGAGCTCAAGTTTGCAGATTTTTCATACAATTTCTTTGTTGGGAAAGTACCCAAGTGCTTGGACTATCTTCCAAGGTAACCTTTCCAGGTTTTCTTTCATCATCAATACTATTCACTTCATTTCTTTACTTTTGCTGATTTCATCCGTACAGGGCAAGTTTTCGAGGGAACTGTTTTCATTTCAATGATCCTAAACAGCGAACTGCAGCTCAATGTGGTAAAATTGACCTTGTTCCTTTTTGCGTTTATGTATATATTTGTTTGTTTGTTTTAATATTGGAAACATTGAATTAAGACACAACCAAATTGAAGAGTGCGTGGGGAAGACAAGAAATCTCCCACTAATTTCAAGATCTCAAATTGATTGGAGAGGAGAACAAATTTTTTTTATAAGGGTGTGGAAACCTCTCTCTAGTAGACGCGTTTTAAAAACCTTGAGGGGAAACTCGAGAGAGAAAACCTAAAGAGGACAACACTAGCGATGGGCTTAGGTTGTTGCAAATGGTATCAAAGCCAGACACCGAGCGGTGTGCCAACGAAACATTCCTTAGAAGGGTGTGGAAACCTCTCTCTAGCAGACACATTTTAAAAACCTTAAGGTGAAGCCCGAAAGGAAAAGCCTAAATAGGACAATAAGAGCTTGTTACGCAGGGGTAGGGGTAGTAGCTACTTTGCTATTTGTAAAACCACAAATGATATTAATGGCTAAGAAATCTGACACCAGCAAAAATTGAATCCTAAATATATTTATGTATATAGGCCTATGTAGCCGAACTGTAGGCTTCTAGCTGTTTCCTTGGGTTGGTGTAAGCCGGTCTTCCCCTTCGTTTTGATCACTGAAGTTTGTGATAAAAATTTCTGTAGTAGGTGGTGGTTCTCCACCTGCTGAATCACATCCAGGAGGTAGCTCGAAGCACGTACCTGTTCAGCATGCTTCCAAACACCAAAGAACTTCAAAACCTGCCTGGCTTCTAACCCTTGAAGTCATTACTGGGATCATGACGGGTTCTCTATTTATTGTTGCTGTGATCACTTCTCTTCGAAAATGCACGGGTAAATCCTCGATCATCATTCCGTGGAAGAAATTCTCAAGTGGGAAGGACCATGATAGCCTTTACATCGGTTTGTTTCATAACTTCAACTTCTTCGTGTCGATGTAGTTAGCTCTGTTTGTCATGAATGTTTGCTTAAACTTTTGTAATTTTTTGACAGACACTGAGATGCTGAAAGACGTACCAAGCATCACTAGGCAAGAGCTTGAAGTAGCCTGCGAAGATTTCAGTAATATCATTGGCTCCTCACCGGACAGTCTAGTATACAAGGGCACCATGAAAGGTGGGCCTGAGATTGCTGTTATCTCAATATGCATTAAAGAAGAAAACTGGACAGACTATCTTGAGCTCTATTTTCAGCAAGAGGTATGATCGTTCTCGACCGAAGTTCTAAACTCCTTTCTGATGTTTTCATTTTGGGAGACGTTTGAACCATCGTGCGTTCGATTGAAACCTGAAGCTGCTAATCAGTGAAGTGATTGTTTTTGTTCATTCCCCTTCAGGTGGCAGATCTAGCAAGACTAAATCATGAGAATGTAGGAAAGTTGCTAGGCTATTGTAAAGAAAGCAGTCCATTTACAAGGATGTTGGTTTTTCAGTACGCATCGAATGGAACATTATACGAGCACCTTCATTGTAAGTAGAGTTCCTTTTTTAACCTCCTTTGCCAAATTCATTATTTTGGAGAGTAATACTTGTGGTGCCTGCAGATGGAGAAGGTTGTTTCTCCTGGACACGACGTATGAATATTATCTTAGGCATTGCTCGTGGTCTTAAGTATCTTCATAGTGAACTCCAACCACCAATTACTATATCAGAGTTGAATTCTGGTTCTGTATATCTTACAGATGATTTCTCACCGAAGGTGAAACAGCTGAGAAGTTTTTCCTTTTAAATCCGATCTTACAAATGATCTCTTATAATCCTTGGATCTTAATGAGAGATTTCTTGGCTTCAACTGCAGCTGGTTGACTTTGAAAGCTGGAAGACCATTCTTTCAAGGTCAGAAAAAAACTCAGGCTCCATTGGAAACCAAGTCGCTCAATGCATTCTTCCAAATTCTCTTGAACCACGTCATCTCGACATAGAAAGTAACATCTACGCCTTCGGTGTTATTTTACTGGAAGTAATCAGTGGGAGACCTCCATACTGTAAGGACAAAGAATGCTTGGTAGACTGGGTGAGAAACTCGAGTATCTTTGAGCTTTTCGACAGGAACTTTGTTGTTACAATAATGTTAAATCACTGATCCTAGAGGGAAAAAAAGCTAACAAATTTTCTTTTTCTCATCAGGCCAAGGAATACCTTGAATCGCCAGACGAGATGTTTTGCTTAGTAGACCCAGAAGTGAAGCATTTTGCAGATGAAGATCTGAGGACGATATGCGAGGTGGTAAATCTTTGCATTCATCCACAACCCACGAAGTTGATTTGTATGCGGGACATATGCAGCACATTGGAGACCAGAATTGACACCTCGGTCTCTGTCGAGTTGAAGGCGTCTTCTCTTGCATGGGCTGAACTTGCACTTTCTTCATAGATCAGGTTCGAGCTAACACATAGATGATCAGATATATAAATATATATATACACAAATGTATTACCTGTTCTTTTTCCAGTTTGAGGTTCTTTCTTTGTTCTTGTAAATACTATGAGGCCCGGATCGAATGATGTTCGTGCATAAATTACTACAAATGAATAGGTTCTCTTTACTAAAAACCAGTATTTTTGCCTTTGTATTGCCCCTCTCCACAACCTCTAGAATTTGGCCTCTCATTTATGGTTTAAGAGTTCTTGATACATGATGCTATGAGAAAAGAAAGGGATAATTTATAACGCACGAGTCTATTAATGAAACTGTGGTACGTTTACACAGAACGAAACGAGTTCTTATCCTTCTATCGAAAGTAACACAAACTACTTACACTGAAGCTCATCTTCACACCTTTTCTTATTAATGGCACTTATTCCATTGCAGTAATTAGACAGACAGCCAAAACTTCACATCTTTGAAGTCAATTTTTCTGAGCGCTGCTTTTGAAGGGTTGCTTTGAGCTTAAAGAGAAGCTTATGAACCTCATCAAAATGTGGGTTTGCAGCATTTCTAGTATTCTCAACCCACTCCCTCACTTTCTGGTACGGACCCAGAATTCGACTGTGATCCTTCTCATCCAAAAGCTGCATATTCAACAAGTTAACCACCACCATTAGAGATCCAGTGAAATCCATGAAATGTCTAGAACATAATAAGTTCAATCCTAGACGTGGAATCAACTTTTTGTAGATTTAGAAAATGAGAAGGAATAGAACTCTTGAAGCAAGACGGCTGCCTCGGCAGTCTAATGCCACCCTTCTGGTTTGTTTTATGGGCTCCTTCATAGAACAATCATGATGCAAAGAGAATGTAATTGGTTGTTCTTGAGTGTATTCAAGTGTTCTTAAAAAGCTATTAGAAGTAATTGCTCAGTGTGTATACGTACCTCTAGTTGCATGATTTCACAAACCAAGCTTAGATCAGCTATGGATGGTTTAAGGCCGCCTACCAAAAACTTCCCGTTCCCCTTCAGCCAAAATGACTCGATTTTCGAAAGTGACTTGGATAAAAGCACCTCAGCTTCAGCAGCTGCTTGAGAATTCTGAGGACGGCCAAACAAAGGTGCTAGAACAGTATAGAATACAAAAGGAGCTGAAAAAGATACAAAACAAGTCATCATAACCATTGTGAATATGAAAAAAAAACTTTATCTACTTGATACAAACACTATGATATGATGTTGGAAAGCATTTAGAATTATCAGAAAGAAAAAACATATGTTGAGTAATATACCTGCACCAATCCGTAAATTAGAATGATGCCAGTCCAATACAGAGTTTATTTTAGCCCTCTTGAAAAGATCGGCTGGATACCTAGTTACATGAATAGAAATTCTGTTACAAGATCTGAGCCTATTAAAATTGCTTAAGCTTTCAATCATGGGTGCTAAATATATATACATGAACGGTTAAATGAATTCATAAACAATAATCCACAGCTACAACAATGCAAAGAACAATATATTTATTTGAATCAACTGGAATCAGCTAGAACTCATCAATTCTGTAGAGAACTAAGTTGTTAGGTTCAACTAAGTATTGGACTACTCTTGAAAAAACAAAAACCAAGACACTAAATCATGTGCACTCGAAGTAAAAGATCAGAACTCAAAGCAAGAGCCGTTGAACTAAACACCAACAGAAGTCAAATTTATCCGTCCGTCCTTATTCAGAATACTAAAATTAGGAAATGAATCTCCGAAATTGATTTATATTAATGGAGAGAACCATGAAACAACCGTGAGAAATGAGGAACCACTTACCAGTGATCTGCCACACCAGGAAACGCACAAGAAAGGTAGATAAGAATAGCATGACTGCAAAAAGAAAACGAAGCAATGAACAATATTAAAAATAACATAGTAACCATATCAAAATTGGGAAGCAGGCTTTGTGGCTGACCATACAAAAGTGCATATAACCCAAGTAAGAAGAATTGATGACTAGTCATATCCTCTATTGTACATTTCGGGGCATTTTAGCCCTGACAAGTGTAGACATGATTTAGGTGACCAGTCACACACCCCCGCATTGACACAACATGAAATAGTAAAGGCCTATCTAAGATGAAAGCATGTAAAAAGGGTTTGGAACAGGCATGCGGCCATGGACAACACATCCTAGACAAGAATGAACGGGACATCCAACATGCAGCCATAGACAACACACCTTAGACAAGCATGACTGTGACACATAGCAGCCTCAATTGAATTAGGATAGTGCAATTGTTGGTACAGTTTTCAAAAATCTCAACATGACGATAAATATCAAAGTAGATATTAAACACAAATGATCCACAAGTACAAGCATAATCTTGAAAACAATTTAGGTACACGAGTAAGATTCTCGAACTCTAGTTTGCCTTCGGGAGCTACAAAGACCAATTAAATAGCAAAAAGATAAGGGAGTTGAATGCAATATTATACTTTTTTTTCTGCAAGAACATGAAAAATAAGATTTTGGGTTCAGTCTATCATTCCTTAAGCTTGCCCTAAAAAGAAGCCACATATAGTTACAAACTGGAGAAATTCCTTGCTCTTGCGTGATCACAATATCTACAAAAAATGTTCAAAACAAATCTTTCATTACCTCTCGAACAGCTTAAATCTCCCATCAACAATGGCAGGAACCTTTGCCATTGGGTTGACCTCTACAAGCAAAATCCAAAAGTCCATTAGAGATGAAAAATATAGAACAGATGAACAATTATGGATTCATTTATTAACCAATCAGCAACCATATGTCATCACTCTTTACCATAAAATTATCCGATACAATACGAAGTATCAGTTCCAGAGATTTGGGTATTATGTTCATCGAATTCACAAGAACGTTAAAAATTAATACATCCAAAAGTGTAAAGGGCATCAACAGATTGATACCACACACTCACGTCGCCGCTAGCCCACCTTTGAATTCGGGAGACAGCTGTTGGAGTTTGGACAAGTCTACCCGCACCTCCTCAAATGCAATCCCGTTAACCCTAAACACCATTAAACGAAGAAGAAAAAGAAGAAGAAGAAGTTTCAAATACCAAACAAGCTGTGAAGCAAAATTCATGGAAAGGGGAAGAGATTTACTTGCAGAAGATGAGGACGGCGCGAGATGGCTGTGACATCCGATCCGCATAAACTTTAAGCGCCATTTTCGATTCCTCTCGAAAGCAAGCGTTCGTCGGAGATTGAAATGCCGAAATGTGGATGATTTACGAATACGCTCAAGAATTTAAGATTAAAACTCTACGGCGCGCTTCGCAATTGGGATAGGATTGGATAATCGATGTTAGATCAGATATTTTGAGAACGATTTCTTGCGACACAAAAAGTGATTTTAAAAACACATTATTTTCTAACACATCCTAAATATTATTTTATTTCGATAAAAAAAAATTTATCAAGAAAGGTCAGAGGTTTGGTTCCCGAACTATTGTGGGATCTCACAATCCACCTTCTTCGGAGTCCAACGTGTTTGCTGACGCTTGTTCCCTTCCCTATCAATGTGGAACCTCCCAATCTGCTCCGATGTGGGGCCAGCGTTCTTACTGGCATACCGTCTCGTATCCACTCCTTTGGGACTCAGCCTCCTTATTGGCACATCGCGCGGTTTGATACCATTGGTAATAGCCCAAGTCCACTGTTACGGTCTTCTTTGTATTTTTTTTTTGGGTTTTCCCTCAAGGTTTTTAAAGCGCGTCTGGAACACCTCCTTATAAAGAATGTTTCGTTCTCCTCCCCGACCAAGATCTCACATCAACTTTCGACGTACCCAATAAGTCCATATTACAATGCAACAAACCTCAATTTCATCCAATTACAATCATGGCTGTTTTTCATCCTGTTCTTCCATACACTTCTTGTGTAGTTACTACGCTCCATAAAGAATTATGGACCAACCAGATGCAGAAAACCTTGAGTTCAAATAAAAATGGAGATCTTGCTTTTCGGCATAACGGTTTTAGAGCAGCAATCGACTGCTATACGCAGGTCGTCTTTGATGTTTTTGTTTAATAACCAAACTCGGTCATGATAATGTATAAGACAACTTGTCCCTTAAAAAACCGTACATGCGAGTCCCCCCACACCCGACTTCAAGTGAATGTCTATCTCTACTCGTCAGGCCTAATAGGTGGTGGGATCGGTGGTGGTATCACATCCTTAAAAACTATACATGCGAGTCTCCTCACACCCAACTACAAGTGAACGTATGTCTGTGCTTGTCAGGCCTAATAGGTGGAGGCTGTACATGCGGGTCTCCTCACACCCTACTACTTTAAGTGAACGCCTGTCTGCACTCATCGGACCTAATAGGCGGTGGTATCACACCCTTGAAAAACAACCACCGCTCGAGTGTCGTATCATAAAATGTAAGAAGAACGATCTTGAATAATATCATGAATCCATAACAAACGTGTTAATTTAGCAGGAAGGAATCATTGCACAGAAATAGAAAAATGCATACATATATCATTGAGTTGGTCCAATGCAGACCAGTTTCGTGTTCCTTTTGGTAAATATTTCCCACCTTTTTTATACACAGATCACTAACTATAAACGTTAAGAATCACAGCAATAAATTATGTACATTTACCCATAGTCACCACAACATATCATCAACTGCTGTCATGGTTGATGGAGATTCATTCTCTTCCTCCAACTCCATCTCCAACTCCGCCTCTCCCGAACCAAACTCAGAGGACTCGATATCGGCGAGATTCTTCAAATCGACAACCGTCAGCTCGTCAAGGTATCTCACCACCAAGTCTGCAGCCCCAAGTTCATACACAGGATGCTTGCTCGCAACAGCCACACACTTCATCCGAGCATCATGAGCAGCCTCAACAGTTTGGTTTGAATTCCCAAACACAATGCACCTTTCAGGAATGAAGTTCAAGAGCTGTGCTGCATAAACGAACATTTCTGGATCAGGCTTTCCCCTATGAACGTCCTCCGCAGCTATAATCACATTGAAATCGCCATCGATACCGATCGTTCCCATGGCTGATTCCAAAGCTTCTCTAGGACGAGTCGAAACAAGTGCCATGGGGATCTTGTAATGCATCAGGACATTCACGAACTCCTTTGATCCAGCTCTTAGTCTGTAAATTCCACCCTGCAATGCTTGATAGATTTCTTCCTTCCTAGCAGCCATTCTTCTCAACTGAGATGGATCTCTTGACCAGCAAAGAACTTCAGAAATGGCTTGTTCATTCTTCATCCCTTCTATTCTTCTAAGGATAAAAGCTGGGGGAGGTGACTTTCCTTCTTCCTCAGAAAGAGCTAACCAGGCCTGCTTCTCAATATCAGGATTGTCCTCAATGAGCACACCCTCCCACTCAAAAATGGCACCCAACCAACCACAGCCCATTCTTTCTTGTCGAAGCAATGGATTCTGCAATGAAGGGTTATCTGCTTTGTTCTCTGGAGGCCATAAGCCTGGCTTTCTATCAAAGCCAGCATCAATATCATAGTTCCAATCCTTTGGTATTCTGTCCTCTTTGAATGAATATGCTTCTTTTGTCGCCTCCAATGATGAAGCCTTCACTGACAAAGGAGACGAAATCAGCCGCTTTCCAATGAATTCGGACGGCGGCGACCTGCTGTTCTTCCTCTTGTTGGACGTGTTCTTAACAAAAGCTCCTCCACATAGCAGCTGATGGCCAAAAAGAGAAGCTGCTGCAATCGACTGAACCATCCTAACCAGTTGACTGGTTTAACACAACTAGAATCCGACCAAATTTATACTCAAAAACAAAACCAACACACCAGAATCATCCAAGTTTCAGACAGAAAGAAAAACACAGAACACCGAGCTGTCGTTTTTGACAAAAATAGAAAAAGAACAACACAACACAACACACAATTCAAACCACTGCCACAAACATTCCCAAAAAAACAGATCAGAATCCACAAAACCCACTATTCCAAAACGGCAAAAGGAAACAGGGGCATGAAAAACATCTAAAAAGGGTCGATGGGTATCGCCCAAATCTCGAACAAAACGCAACCCTCAACACAAATCAACCAAAAATCACTTCCAAATAGAGAACAAGAAGGAAGCAATTACCAAGAAGAATCCGGAATTGGATTCGATGATGATAAGGAGAGAGGGGTTTCTGGTTAGGGGTTAAATTGCGGAACACGAAAGGAAAGAATCCGTTTCTGTCTCACACAGGGAAGGGATTTAAGAAGGGGCAAAGAGTTTTGTGGTTAATATTCAGAATAGAGAGTAATGAATGAAAGAAAGAAGAACACGGTGGCCATCTTCGTAAGGAGACTGGTCGCGCACGCCGACCAGTGCGACCGGCTGGAAGGCCGCGTGTCGGTCACCGTCTCGTTTCTTCTCCATTTGCCCTAAATTTTCCTCTTTTATTACGTTTCTGCCACGGCCTTTCCGATAAGATTAAAGAACATAATCATTATTATCCCATCTAGATTGTCGCCCCTAATCTCAATTTAAAGATATAATATTATTTTCAAACTACAATTTCCGAATAAATAGGAAATAATTAAATTCGTTTTTCAAAATTACTATATTACCCATTTAGTCAACGTCATTTTGACTTAAAACCTTTATCTAAATTAAATTAATTTTTAAATCTTAAAAAATGTCTAATAATTACAAAATTAATTGATTAATGAAATTTTTAGTCCTCAATTATTGATCAAATAGATATGTGAATTAAAAAATAAACAAAATTCATCGACTTAATTTACAATTTTATAAATTTAGTTTAGATATTGAATTAAAAATTAAAATTTTGAATTGGGTTTTTCTTAATAAAAATATGGGAAAATAATGAATTTTAAAAAGATTATATTTTTTTTATAAAATAATATATAATATTTAAGAATAAAGTGATCAAAATTGAATTTGTGTATGAAATCAAAATAAAACTCAAAATGGATAATTTAAAATTAATTTAAAAAAAATATATATATTTTGATTATTTAAAGTTTTATAGTACAATTATTTAAGATGCAATGTCCCATAAAGCTGGACAAAATAAAATATCTATAATATGAAAAGTATTATTTATTGGTATTTAAAATTCAAGTTTAATAATATTTAAATGATAATGTCGACTTAAAGCATAAATTATTTTCTTTTTGATAATTTGGAAAAAAACATAAATATTTTAAAAAGTTTTAAAAATGATAATTAAAAATTAAACATGAATCATAAGACCCAAGAAAAAAGGAGAAAATTAATTAAACACGTGTGATAAATGCAACCTATAAGGATAGGGTTATGGTGGGGGGGCCCACATGTTGAGTTGGATTACTATTTGCCAGCTCCTCAACAAAGAGGTAGCGTGTAAGTTTCAAACTCGTTGATTGATATTTAAAATTGGGATTTAGCTGAATTAATAAAAATAACATTTTGTCTTTTTTTTTTAATAATATTTCAATAAATAAATTACATTTTTTTAATTTACAAAAATACTCTTCAGCTATTTAATTTTTTTTTTTTTGGTGTTAATGATATTTTATAAAATTTATGGGTAATTTTAAGCCGTGAAATTAAGTTTCTGTCAATATATTAATCAAAAGAGTATTTTTAATTTTTAAAATAAGTTTAAGGGTATTTTTTAGTGAGATCGACCCTTGTTGTCAGCTTCTTTTCGGCACATATGGCTCGTGAGAAAGACATGTGGAAAGCCTTTTTCTTATCGGATTTATTAGACATTATAAATTATTTAAAAAATAATTTAACCATTATATTTCTAATTTAATTTTACATTTTTTTTTCTTTTAAAACACGCTTGAGATCTCAATAAAATTTTAAGATTTAAGAAATAAAAAATTTAATATTTTTTTTTTAATAATTTTAATCGTAATTAAAAAAAGGAAATAAGAAATAAAATCTAAAAACAAAGTTATTAGACAGGATTTGTTCTTCGCGCCGTTCGCTTCGTCTGAGTTTCCCGTTTCCGCCTTTGTCTCCGATTGTCACTTTTTTCAGTCTTTGTTCTTCGCGCCGTTCGCTTCGTCTCTCTCTCAAGAGTTCGTTCTTCGTCAAGGAATCATGTTGTAAGCTCAAAGTAGATTGAGCTGAATTTCTGTTCTTGACATGGCCAAGAGGAAGGGAAATACGAAGAAAGGAGCGTCTAACCCGACATCCGGTCCGCAAGATTCGATAACTATTAGACAGGAAATCACTGGGAAATTCAAACCCAAAGTCTCTAACAATGTCAAAACTTATTTGAATCATTTGGAAAACCTAGCGACTTGGGCTAGTGGGAAAGCCTCTATTCCTTCATTGGCTGCTTTCTTTGGGCAGCGCCTCGCTACTGCAGCGGAGTCCTTGGCGGTCGCTCCCGACGCTTCTTTGT